TTTTGTAGCCAACCTAATCAGCTTTTCCTTGTTGAACCAATTAGAATTAAACCCTACAAGCCTTTTTTTCCCTGGCACTGCTTCTGAAAGGCTTTGAAATCTATTGCTGTGACGGTTCGAAATAAAGGAACAGTCTAAAATCAATGTTTCATGGTAAGCTGTTAATGAAAATGTTCCAACAGAAGCTATATTTATGATAAATATGCGACATGCAGCGAAACATTTGTTACCCTATCCATCCTTGCTTGAAGTTCCTTCTGTGTGGTTGCAGCAAAGTCACCACGCTGAAGTTTGCTTTTAATTTGGACTTGTTTGGTTTCCCCGGCCCATACTTATTGTGTGCAAACACACTTGTCTCTACTATGAATTGAACTCTTATTTTCTGAACTTAAGCATGCCTTGAAACAAAAGTCCAAGACTTGGTAAGGTCTTCATTTTTCATATTTCTAGGTATTGTATGGAAAGCCCTTTCAAATCACATCACTAAACATTTCAATACTTCAGGTTGCTTGAATGGAATGCTGATGTTAACTCGGTGTGTATGTTTTAATCACAGTCATGACTTGGGCACTAAAGTGACCAAAAGTTGATCACTATGTAACAATTTTTGTTCCTGGGCAAGCCCGTAGCCAGGATTTTGATTCGGGGGGTGGGGGGGGGGGGGCAGGGGCTGAGGATCTACCCTAGCAAACCTTTTGTATTGTTATCCCAATAACCCCATTTTTATTTATCGTGTCAGGGCAACCAGTCAATTATATTACATTTCTAACAGAACAAAGCAAAGAAACAGACAAAATACAAAATTTGTGAGTTTGGTAGCTGATTAAATGTCCTTTGACCAGTATCTGGCCACTTGGAGTGCCTCTGGTGTTGCCGCAAGAAGGTCCTCCATTGTGCATGTGGCAGGGCTCAGGTTGCATTGCAGCAGGTGGTCAGTGGTTTGCTCTTCTCCACACTCGCATGTCGAGGATTCCACTTTGTGGCCCCATTTCTGAAGGTTGGCTCTGCATCTCGTGGTGCCAGAGCGCAGTCTGTTCAGCGCCTTCCAAGTCGCCCAGTCCTCTGTGTGCCCAGGGGGGAGTCTCTCATTTGGTATCAGCCATAGGTTGAGGTTCTGGGTTTGAGCCTGCCACTTTTGGACTCTCGCTTGCTGAGGTGTTCCAGCGAGTGTCTCTGTAGATCTTAGAAAACTATTTCTAGATTTAAGTCGTTGACGTGCTGGCTGATACCCAAACAGGGGATGAGCTGGAGATGTCTCTGCCTTGGTCCTTTCACTATTGGCTGCTACTTCCCGGCGGATGTCAGGTGGTGCAATACCGGCTAAGCAGTGGAATTTCTCCAGTGGTGTAGGGCGCAGACACCCCGTGATAATGCGGCATGTCTCATTAAGAGCCACATCTACTGATTAGTGTGGTGAGATGTGTTCCACACTGGGCATGCGTACTCAGCAGCAGAGTAGCATAGCGCAAGGGCAGATGTCTTCACTGTGTCTGGTTGTGATCCCCAGGTTGTGCCAGTCAGCTTTCGTATGATATTTTCTAGCACCCACTTTTTGCTTGATGTTCAGGCAGTGCTTCTTGTAGGTCAGAGCACGGTCCAGAGTGACTCCCAGGTATTTGGGTGTGCTGCAATGCTCCAGTGGGATTCCTTCCCAGGTAATCCTCAGAGCTCGGGATGCTTGTCTGTTCTTAAGGTGAAAGGCACATGTCTGTGTTTTAGATGGATTAGGGATCAGCTGGTTTTCCCTGTAATAGGCAGTAAGAGCACCTAGAGCTTCGGAGAGCTTCTGTTCAACCATCTCAAAGCTTTCTGCTTGAGCAGTAATGGCACGATCATCTGCATAGATGAATCTCTGTCCCTTCTGGCAGTGGCTGGTCATTTGTGTAAATGTTGAACATTGATGGAGCGAGCACCCTCCCCTGAGGCAGGCCGTTCTTCTGTTTCCGCCATCTGCTTCTCTGGCCCTGGGACTCAACAAAGAAGCTCCTGTTTTGTAGCAGGTTTCCTATGAGGTGGGTGAGGTGGTAATCCTTTGTGATATTATACATTTTTCTCAGGAGGAGGCGGTGGTTCACAGTATCATAGGCTGCTGACAGGTCTATGAAGACAGCTCCTGTGATCTGCTGCCTTTCAAAGCCATCTTCTATGTGCTGAGTCAGGTTCAGCACTTGCGATGTGCAGCTTTTGCCTTTCCTGAAGCCAGCTTGCTGAAACCAGATCATTATATGAATAAACATAACTGTTTAAATAATGTACCAGTAAGGCCTTTTTGCGGACCACCCTGAGAATTTGGGGGGGGGGGGGAGCTGAAGCCCCTTAAGCCCCCTCCCCCTTTCCTGGCTACATGCCTGTTCCATGGATATAAATGTCATTTGCTAATTGGTTTTATCATAAAACATGAAAAACTGCAAAATCTTTGCAGGAGGGACATCCTGCTACATTACATTTTGCTCTAGTTTTTCAATGAATGTCTCATCATAGAGTCTCAACTACTTCAACTTGGTTTGTGACACCCACAAAACAAAGTCTCTGAAGTATAACAACTTTCAAAAGTACTTTCAGACCAGGAACAGAAAAAAAATCATATTTTTTTACATAGTGTAATGGGAACCATAGACAGAATTAGCCGACAAGTTGCCCTCAACTCTTCAGTTTAAGAGAAATAATGGGGAGCTTTCTGGTCCCATTATTTCAGATCTCGTAAAGTGGAGATGAGTAACCTTCTAAATGCAAAGATTGCATAGTGAAACTGAGTTGCGGCCACTCTTTTCTGTTGCGATTTCCTTCTCTCTTTCTTTTAAACGCCGCATACATTTTTCTATTTAAAAAAGCATACTTGCAATTACTGCCTGAATAATTAACAGATAACCTTAGGGTAAACCCAAACATATCATCCATCCTTTTACCAATTATTCTTCAGGATTTAATTTCATGGGCACAGCTGGCACTGTTTGGCTCATAAAATAGATATTCTCTGTAGTCTTGTGTTATATGTTTATCAAGAAGGGGGCTTATGCCATAATCAATTAGACTAGGCCAGAAATGTGCGACCCGTCACAATCTGTCTTCTCCAGCAAAGTTCGCGATTACTGTTGGGGATCCGAGCTGTTAGGCTCAAAATAACCCTCGGTTGGGGTGATTCCACCATAGATACAACAAAGTGCTAGAAGCAAATTTCATAACCAGCAGAAACTTACGTGTGGTGAGTCAGGATAAGCTTCCATTCAACAGGATGGCACAGGATTGCAGAGTCACAACTTTAGATTCAAAATATTTATTTAAGTAAAAAAGTTACATTTTCCTGGAGCAGTATTTCTTGCTGTTTCTTTGTCAGTGTTGATGTGGAGAGTGTCTGGTTTGCCCACCCTGGACCATGCAACAACCCTGGAAGATGCAACATATCATCGTCCTTCTTTAAGGGTCCCTTTCAAATCTATGATACTATATCTGTGTGTGTGTGTGTGAATTATATCTATCTCTATCTATCTGTCTGTCTGTCTGTCTGTCTGTCTGTCTGTCTGTCTGTCTATCTATGGCTGGATGGCTCTTTGTCAGGAGGGCTTTGATTACGTTTTCTTGCCCTGATGAAGGGAGTTGGATTGGATGGCCTTAAGTATTTTCTGTTGGTCATGGAGGTTCTGTGTAGGAAGTTTGCCCCAATTCTGTCGTTTGTGGGGTTCGGAATGCTCTTTGATTGTAGGTGAACTGTGAATCCCTGTGACTACAACTCCCAAATGTCAAGGTCTATTTCCCCCAAACTCCATCTGTGTTCATATTGGGACATATTGAGTGCTTGTCCCAAGTTTGGTCCAGATCCGTCATTGTTTGTGTCCACAGTGCTCTCTGGATGTAGGTGAACTACAACTCCCAAACTCAAGGTCAATGCCCACCAAACCCTTCCAGTATTTTCTGTTGGTCATGGGAGTTCTGTGTGCCACGTTTGGTACAATTCCATCGTTGATGGAGTTCAGAATGCTCTTTGATTGTAGGTGAACTATACATCCCAGCAAAACTCCATGTGTTCATATTTGGACATATTGAGTACTTGTGCCAAGTTTAGTCCAGATCCATCATTGTTTGTGTCCACAGTGCTCTCTGGATGTAGGTGAACTACAACTCCCAAACTCAAGGTCAATGCCCACCAAACCCTTCCAGTATTTTCTGTTGGTCAGGGGAGTTCTGTGTGCCAAGTTTGGTTCAATTCCATCATTGATGGAGTTCAGAATTCTCATTGATTGGAGGTGAACTATAAATCCCAGCAACTACAACTCCTAAATGACAAAATCATAATTTTTGAGTGATGGTCACTCCTTGTGTTGTGAGACGTTTTGTTGCCAAATTTGGTGTGATTTCATTCATTGGTTCTTTTGTTTTTAAGATACTCATTATGCACAGAGCATTTTTAGATAGATAGATAGATAGATAGATAGAGATAGATAGAGATAGATACAAAAATATAGATATAGAGATAGATAGATAGATAGATAGATAGATAGATAGATAGATAGATAGATAGATAGATGGAGACAGATTGACTTTCACATTCACTTCCCTCTTATCATCCCCCCTGGGGCAAATGCCTTGCCAGGTTGTTTTTCTTCTTCATCATGCAGATTTCTGTGTCCATTGATGGTTTAATAAATGATTAATTTAATGTCACACTTGAAAAGCCCACTTTTTTCTTCAAGTTCCTTGCACGAAGAGCACACCGAGCGCGGATACCGTCCCTGCCACTCGTGCCCTCTCAGCAAGACATTCAACTCACTGTGCCAGATGTCCAGCCATATGTATTTTTTTACAGATGGCCAGTGATCTTTCAAGGGAAAGTGCTGAAAAATAATAAAATAAGCCTACTGTATCACATTTACCCCAAGATTTTTAAAGCCATCAGCAAGAAGCGATTTGATGTACAAGTTTGCCTTCAGGGACTTGGATTTTATTTCTAGAGCTGTGAGCATAACAAACAACATTTTCCCCCTTTCTCTGTCTTCCTTTTTCAGTTCTGTTGGATTAGCAAAAGCAGCCCTAGAAGCAATTAATGGATTCAACCTCTTCGGCAATCAGGTAGTAAAAATATTTAAGTATTTGTTCATTCTCCATTTTTAATTAACTGCTTCTTCTTCAGTAAATTGCTTTCATTGCAGATCAAAGGACATCTAATATCCATATGGTAAAGCCTGTTCCGTCTGCATTTCTCCAGCTTTTTTTAAAAAAGGAAGTAGGCTAGAAAATTAATTCTTGCTACTTTGGGTATTGGATGCGTAGGCTAACAAAATCATCTCTTTCCACAGTTAACAACCATTACTTTTCCCCCAGCCATTTGATTTAACTATTATGAAAACTGAAATGTATAGAACGGTCTCCTGTTTTCCTCTAGCCCGTTTGAGCGAGACATTAAATGGCTCCAGTTGTGCATTTAAATGTCCTCCTGTTCTTTTCTGTTTTCGTTCTCTGGTATGGAGCACCGTCTAATACTTTGGTCACCCTTCATTATGACTTCCCTCAATTCCAGATAATTTGAAACCCTTCAAATAGCTATGCTTTTCATCAGCTGCTCTTCCATTCCAATATGTGCACCCTTCTCTTCATTATCACAAAATGCGCTCCCAGCTTTGTCTCATTCTCTCTGTATGCCAGAAAAAAATGTAACTAAAAGCACAAGGTCAATGTCTTGTGAACACTCTCTATCAGTGGTTCGCAACCTGTGGGTTCCCACGTGTTTTGGCCTACAACTCCCAGAAATCCCAGCCAGTTTACCAGCTGTTGAAGGCCAAAACATCTAGGGACCCGCAAGTTGAGAACCATTGCTCTATATTTATTTATTTATTTACAGCTTTTATATTCTGCCCTTCTCACCCCACAGGGGACTCAGGGCGGATTACAGTGTACACATATATGGCAAACATTCAATGCCAATTTTTGACATACAACATATACAGACATACACAGAGGCTATTTAACTTTTTCTGACCGCCAGGAGAGCTGTCGCTTTCATCGTCCATCTGCGACGCTGATGAAGCACTTCCGCATTCCCCGCATGCTTCCCTGCTGGAATGCTTTGCTGGAGTCTTTATGGCCTCATAAATCAGTTAATTTAGCCTCCCCACACTTTAAGGTGGTACCTTATTTTCCTACTTTAAAAGCTTCCAAAAAGGAGCCTCCACCAGGCTCCGGGGCAGAGAGTTCCACTGCTGAACGGCTCTCACAGTCAGGAAGTTCTTCCTCATGTTCAGATGGAATCTCCTTTCTTGTAGTGTGAAGCCATTGTTCCGTGTCCTAGTCTCCAGGGAAGCAGAAAACAAGCTTGCTCCCTCCTCCCTGTGGCTTCCTCTCACATATTTATACATGGCTATCATATCTCCTCTCAGCCTTCTCTTCTTCAGGCTAAACATGCCCAGCTCCTTAAGCCGCTCCTCATAGGGCTTGTTCTCCCGACCCTTGATCATTTTAGTCACCCTCCTCTGGACACATTCCAGCTTGTCAATATGTGAGGTCTGAGGATGCTTGCCATAGATGCAGGCGAAACGTCAGGAGAGAATGTCTCTAGAACATGGCCATATAGCCTGAAAAAACCTATAACAACCCAGTGGAGCCATGGGTTCAAATTACAAGAAAGGAGATTCCAACTGAACATTAGGAAGAATTTCCTGACTGTAAGAGGAACTGTTCAACAGTGGAACTCTCTGTCTCGGGAAGAAGTCTGATGGGAACTCCTTCCTTGGAGGCTTTTAAAAAGGCTAGATGTCCAGCTATTGAAGGTGCTTTGATTGTACTTTTCCTGCCTGGCAGAATGGGGTTGAACTAGGTGACCCATGTGGTCTCTTCCAACTCTATGAGTTTCAGTTCTTCAGAATTCTTCATCAGACTCAAATGTTAGACAAATTGGGAAGGAACAGAATAGTCCAACTATCCAGTTTCATGTAAATGTTGGATGTGTAGATAGATTGAAATTCCAAGATGGAGTTAGCTGGTTGGAGCAATCAGCTTTGGAGCCCGTGACAAGTTTTGCATTTCTTCAGACAAAATACCAGGAGACACTCAGTGATTTGTCTTGTCTTTACACTGACTTCTATGTCAGCTTGGAGCAGAATCTCAGAGTAGCGTAACAATCCCAATATTATTAAAGAAGGGGATTAAAATTAAGTGGTGCACTAGGTAAAAAGCCAAATTGCATGATTACCTAAAGCTTGGAGGGAAATGGAATCCCCAGTCCTCCTCTTAAGAACATCTGTGTTAAGATTTATTTAATCATAGACATCGGCAATCTTCTTCCACTGGTGAGATAGATTTTTTTTGCAAATGTTCATATCCAGAGACCTTTATTCATGTTGCCATTTAAATGAAAACTACAATTAATAAATAAGTAACTTAAAACCAATATCACAAAAGAGCAAGTAATTATTCATATGTTAATCAAATTAACCTGCTGGGGTTTTCCACATGCAATTAGTTATTGAATTATGCCGATAACACAACCCACAAGGTACAAACATATCTACTCAAAATGAAAAACAACACAACAACACACTCACAAAACGGCAAAACAACAAAACTAAAAAAAAACCAACGAAACTTAACCAAAATTGCCATGCCCATAACACAACCCACAAGGTACAAACATATCTACTCAAAATGAAAAACAACACAACAACACACTCACAAAACGGCAAAACAACAAAACTCAAAAAAAAACCAACGAAACTTAACCAAAATTCCCATGCCCATAACACAACCCACAAGGTACAAACATATCTACTCAAAATGAAAAACAACACAACAACACACTCACAAAACGGCAAAACAACTGAGCATGTGCATTGGCGCCCAGCCGCAAGTTCCCTGGCGCGCGCACACAGCCTTCCGGCCAACGTTCCCTCTGCGGAAGCCATGCCCACTCCAAGCCCCGCCGCGCCGCTTCCCGCACACACACACCCCCTGCCGCACGCACACACACAACCCCACGCTCCATCACTCCCCCCCACCACCCACCCCATCCCCCCGCCGCCGCACACACACACGCAACCCCACTCCATCACTCCCCCCGCCGCCGCACACACACACGCAACCCCTCTCCCCCCCCCCGCCGCCCCACACACACACGCACCCCCACACTCCATCACTCCCCCCGCCGCCGCACACACACGCAACCCCACACTCCATCACTCCCCCACCCCAATCTTACCTCCTTTTACTTCACGCCACCTCCAAACCCCACCCCACCCCTTCCCGCCCTGTCAAAACACACACAACCCCACCCCCCGCCGCCCACACACACGCAACCCCACGCTCCATCACCCCCGCCGCCACACACACACGCAACCCCACGCTCCATCACCCCCCCCCCGCCGCACACACACACGCAACCCCACGCTCCATCACTCCCCCCGCCGCCGCACACACACACGCAACCCCACGCTCCATCACTCCCCCCGCCGCACACACACGCAACCCCACGTCCACTCCCCCGCCGCCACACACACACGCAACCCCACGCTCCATCACTCCCCCCCGCCCGCCACACACACACACGCAACCCCACGCTCCATCACCCCCCCCCCCCCACCAACAAAACTTAACCAAAATTCCCATGCCCATAACACAACCCATCTCCAAACCCCACCCGGCCCCTTCCCGCCCTGTCAAAATCCAGGAAAGACAGGAAGGAAGGACAGGAAGGAAGGAAGAGAAAGGGAGGTAAAGAAAAAGGGGGAAGGAAGGAAAGTTAGAGAAAGAAGGAAGAAGAAAAGGAAAGAAAAGGAAAGATGGAAGGAAAGAAAAGAGAGACAGCAGAAGAGAAAGAAAAAGGGGGAAGGAAGGAAGGAGAGAAGAAAAAAGGGAATGAAGGAAGGAAAGAGGGAGTGAAGGAAGGGGGAAGATGTAGAGAAAGAGGGAGGGAAGGAAAGAAGGAAAGAGAGAAGGAAGAAAAGAGACCAGAAGAGAAAGAAAAAGGGGGAAGGAAGGAAAGAGATAGAGAAGGAAGAGGAGAAGGAAAGATGGGAGGGAAGGAAGGAAGGAGGGAAAGAAGGAGAGAAAGAGGGAAGGTTGGCCACAGCAACACGTGGCGGGTAAAGGTTGTTATTTCTATTATTATTATGCTATTATTATTCCTATGAGACCCTGGGGGAATGGGAGAGGTGTCAGGTCCCAGAGGCAATGCATTGCATTATTGTTATTGTTATGATGGTGGTGAAATAAAAGGAAATAAAAAGAGAAAGAAGGAAGCAAACAGGGAGGGAAGAAAGGCAAAGGAAGAAAGGGGGAGGGAATGAAGGAAAGAGAGAAGGATGAAACCAAGTAGTGAAAGAAGGAAAGAAAGAAAGAGGTAGAGAAGGAAGAAAGGAGAGAAAAGGGGAGGAAAAGGGGGAAGGAATAGGTAGGGACCTCTCTTTCATAATAGTCCAGATATCTACTTCAACTTTGATAAGTTTTACTATAGGCCACAGCAACGCGTGGCAGGGCACAGCTAGTAGTATATAGATCTAATGGAGCCCCCAGTGGCACAGTGGGTTAAAGCACTGAGCTGCTGAGCTTGTTGGCTGAAAGGTCACAGGTTCGATTCCGGGGAGCGGCGTGAGCTTCCTCTGTCAGCCCCAGCTTCTGCCAACCTAGCAGTTCGAAAACATGCAAATGTGAGTAGATCAATAAGTACCTATTTGGTGGGAAGGTAACTGTGCTCCGTGCAGTCATGCTGGCCACATGACCTTGGAGGTGTCTATGGACAACGCCGGCTCTTCTACCTAGAAATGGAGATGAGCACCAACCCCCAGAGTCGGACACAACTGGACTTAATGTCAGGGGACAACCTTTACCTTTACCTTTATATAGATATAATATTTATAATATTATAATGTAATGCAATATAATAATATGATATCATAATTATATATTTATATTACATGTAATATCACTAGTAAGATTACAATATAATGGTATAGTACAATATAGTAATATTTAATACTATGCTAATAATCTAATATATTGTGTGTATATATATCTTGTAAGCCACTCTGAGTCCTCTTCGGGGTGAGAAGGGCGGCATATAAATGCCGTAAATAAATATAAATAAATAATGCATCTTTTCGTGAAAATATTTTATTTAAAAAAGCAATCCATGGGCGCTGCAGCAAGACGGCAGACAGGCTTATCTGAGACACTTAATCCATCTTAAAGGGATTCAGCTAACCTTTTTAAAAGGATCCTCCTAATGAGCACAGGGCAAAATGTAAACAGCTAACCAGAAAGGAAGAAAAACACACTTTTTTGGATTTTAATTTAACAGTGTCTTTATCTGAGGGATTTGGAAATTGGAGCTCTTGCAAGTAACCTCTGTTTAGCCTTGGAATATCAATGTTCGGCCTTCATGTTTTCTATGGATCTGGAAGTGGTCTGATTTCAACTACAAACCTAGAACTTAGGCCACCTCTACACTGCATTATATGGTCAGTGTAGACCAGTGGTTTCCAATCTTTTCTTGACCAGGGGCCACTTGACCAGACACCACTTTGACCATGGACCATCCTTAAGCATTAGCACTAAAAGGGTTACAAATCTGTTTTTGGTCAACTTTAGATTTGGTTTGGTTATTTGGGGAGCTGGTTCAGAACATTGCATTGGATGGACCACATCAGCTCTAGTTTCTGATACAGAACATATGCCATCCAGTAGTCACCATCTGCTCACCCACAGAAAACCATATTCAATAATATAGACCTGTTGTGGAAGTAGTACTCTTTTGTGGTAGGCATATGCAATCCATAGTTCTAAATGGTTCTAAAGTACTTACAAAACTAAAGTTCTGGTGGTGAAAACTAGGAGGCGCTGGTTCTTTGCTTCTACAGTGTTGCTAAAGTTCTGGTGGTGAAAATTTCAGAACTCTAACAAAACTTTCAAAATTCCATTATAAATGGCAGTTCCTAATTGGTTATGTCATAAAAATCATCAATAATGAAATAATAATAAAATTTTGAAAATTCCATTATAAATGGCAATTCCTAATTGGTTATGTCATAAAAATCATCAATAATGAAATAATAATGAAATTTTGAAAGTTTTGTTAGAGTTCTGAAATTTTCACCACCAGAACTTTAGCAACACTGTAGAAGCAAAGCACCAGCACCCCCTAGTTTTCACCACCAGAATTTTAGTTTTGTAAGTGCTTTAGAACCATTTAGAAGCATGGATTGCACATGCCAATTTTGTGAGTAGTCAGCCTCTCCCCTCCTGACATCCCCATTGCCTCGGCACTATAAGAGGGTTTCTCAAGACCATTTGCTCTCGTTGCCGTGTGGTTTGAGGAAATGCAGTAATGGTGAGGCCACGGACCATATTTTCATTCTTGCGGACCACTAGTGGTCCACGGACCACAACCTGGGAACCACCGGTGTTGTTAGGGATTCCTCATCTTCAGAGGAGTAAGGGGAGCAGGGAAGTGCTCAAGAATTGGAGGGAGAAGAAGAATCAGACTATGAGGTTTTGAAAGTGTCCACATTTCTAGAGAGACGAAAAGAGACAGAGCATAGACGGCGTTCAGCTAGAATAGCTGCTAAAAACGCTGAGCTAATTGGGAGACACCCTAGCACCTCCTGCGTGGGGAATTCAGGGTTATAAATCAAAAGCAGGAGCAGTCAGATTTGCTGGTAACAACGACCCTGATACTGATGTTTTGACTCCAATGGAACCTGCTTTGTGTCTGTTACTAAAGGCTTGCTGATCATTGCCCGTTGTCTGATGGAAGACTGCTGTTTCTTTTGGGATTTTGTAAGAGACTTTAATTTGTGTCTGGATTAAGACTTCCTTGTTTTATTTTACACTTTTCCATTGAATTTGCTTATCTTTTGTGTCTGCTGAAGTAAAGCATTTTTCTTTTACTTTCAACATTGTCTAAAGGTTGTTTTTGAAGGGCAACACAGGACAGATGTGGACTTATATGAATGGTTTGCCAGATGTGTTGCCTTTCAACTATGATCCCCTCCAAAGCATTGCACACCAGTCACTAGTATGCAATTTAATCATAGACATAGGCAATCTTCTTCGAAAGAAGTGCCTACATCTTCTTCCTTGAGATTTCTGATGTTTAGTAACAGAAGCGATTTCTATTTGAGCCCAAACACACACCTTTCAGGTTGCTATTTGATATCTCTGTGGGCTGAAATCTCTATGGACAGTGTTTCCTGTGAATGGGCTCGACCATTGATTTCTTATTATCTAAACATAGATGTTTCGAGCTACCCCTGAAGTTTAAATAGTCCTCTCTGTTCTTCTTCCTCTATTTTATACTGATTCATCTTTCTGCAATTGGAATGTACTTGCAGTTGCTTGGCAACTGATGTGGGCCACCAGCCCAGGACGATTCCCCCCATTTCCTATGGTTGCCCCAGCAACTGGCCTGAGGGACACTCACAGTGTTCAGGCACTCAGTTGGAGTTCAAGTTTTGCCCTCTCCCAGCACGATGCAAGCTAGAAAAAGGAATCCTTTGATTGAACACTATTTGACTGTGGGTTTGCTGCTTCCATTTCATGCTAACTTATCCTTGGTAGACTCACATTTGCATTCATCGCTGCATCTAACACGAAGCTCATGTGGCGAGTGCTGGCACAAGTGCAGCCGAAATGAGGCCACTGAGAATCAAGAGGGAGGTATTGGCAGGCTTGGGAGGTTGGAAAATGTACAAAATTTCCATATAAAACAGCAACAAAGCAATGGGGGCACAATCCCCGCCACAGCCACCATGCCGTGAAATGCTGAGCATCAATTGGAAAGGAAAAGTAGGAAGTGATGTGGTATTGATCTCTTGGACCTCTGCGCAGCTTACAGTATTCTTCTGGACAAGGGCACGTTTACATCTAGCAGGAATCCTGAACAGAAGCAGGATAACGCATACAATCCCCGATTGATATGGCAGCTGCAATGTTTTCTTTCAGCTCCCAGTAGAATTGCTGAATTACAAGAAACTCCAAAGTCCATGGTCCAACTCTCTGCCATGGAGTATTATTATTATTATTATTATTATTATTATTATTATTATTAACCATATTTATATACCGCCTCTCTCAGCCCGAAGGCGACTCAATGCGGTTTACAGTCAGCAATCAATGCCCCCAACAACATTAAAATAATCAAAAACATTAACATATAATATAAGCCATATTTTATTAGCTTTTGAATAGCTGATGCAAAGAAGAGTAGAGATTCAAGGACTACAATTCTACTTGGACACCAAACTCTTTGCTCCCAAACCAGTGAAATGAACATAATGAAATGTACACGTAAAACATAGCTTCAGTGTCGTCACTACTACTTCACAATTTAGTTTGCAGACCTGCCAATGTCTCTAATACTTGGAATAGAAGCAGCTTGGAAAATAACATCTATGCAAAATGTCGTTATCAATTGCAACTCATTTTTTCATGTAGCAAGATGTTCTGTTCTGACTTCAGGGAGAGATCACTTCTGCTATGCAACAGGCTGCGGTGCCATCAAGTCAATATCTGTTAAATTTCTTGCTACCCAGACTCCAACTGCAAAGAGTCCCAAATTAACAATGAGGTTCCTTCGGAAATCGTTGCGGTCCGTGGCGAAGCGGTAGGCGCCTCGGACCCAGCTTCGGAGGCTCTCCGGCGAGACCGGCTCGGAGCTCCCGCTGCTGCCGCTCCCCGTTTGCCCGCCGGGCGCCATGTCTCTCACGCTTGCCCTCAAACAAGCCATATAAAAACAGTGTAAGTCATATAAAAACAGTAGAAACAATAAAAAGGATAACGCATACAATCCCCAATTGATATGGCAGCTGAAATGTTTTCTTTCAGATCCCACTAGAATTACAGAATTACAAGAAACTCCAAAGTCCATGGTCCAACTCTCTGCCATGGAGGATTATTATTATTATTATTATTATTATTATTAACCATATTTTTATACCGCCTCTCTAAGCCTGAAGGCGACTCAATGCGGTTTACAGTCAGCAATCAATGCCCCCAACAACATTAAAATAATCAAAAACATTAACATAAAATATAAGCCATATAAAACAGTAGAAACAATAAAAAGTGTAACGCATACAATCCCCAATTGATATGGCAGCTGAAATGTTTTTTTTCAGATCCCACGAGAATTATTGAATTACAAGAAACTCCAAAGTCCATGATCCAACTCTCTGCCATGAGGATTATTATTATTATTATTATTATTATTATTATTATTATTATTATTATTATTATTATTAACCATATTTATATACTGCCTCTCTCAGCCCGAAGGCGACTCAATGCGGTTCACAGTCAACAATCAATGCCCCCAACAACATAAAATATAATTAAAAACATTAACATATAATATAAGCCATATAAAAACAGTAGAAACAATAAAAACTATAAAAACACAAGTCCTCTTCGTCTCATTATTTAAATCATTTTCCAGTCGTATCGTCCAATCGTTCTGTGGATCTAAATTAACCTGCAAACGCTTGCTTAAAAATCCAGGTTTTAACTATTTTTCGAAATGTTAGGAGGGAGGGTGCTGATATGATATTCCTAAGGAGGATGTTCCATAGCCGAGGGGCCACTGCTGAGAAGGCACTGTCTCTCATTCTTGCCAATCGCATTTGCGAAGGAGGCGGGACCGAGAGCAGGGCCTCCCCAGACGATCTTAACCTCCTAGCTGGTTCTTAGGGAGAGATACGTTCTGACAGGTAAGCTAGGCCGGAACAGTTTAGGGAATATACAACTAAAATATTCCTGAAAGGTGGTCATTCAACTTTCGTTTAAAAGGGGATGTCTGCTATTTTCCAAGGCAATCTAATTCACTATTGAACAGCTCTTGCAGTCAAGTAATTATTCTTGATATGTAAGTATAATTTTCCCTTGTAATTTCATGCTGTCATTCCTAGAACAGTGGAGACACTCGCATGAAGGCACCGTGCACCAATGTGCTAGCCTCTATTCAAAGCAATGTGTGTGTTTTTATACTTTCTTTACTTGTTTCCTTTGGACCTGAATTAATTGGTTGCTGCTGCATTTTTTTTGTCTTAACACACATTTACTGCAAGCTGCGCAATTAGATTTTGAAGCATCGGTGTTCCCAAATCTTCTCTGCTCATCCTCTTGAAAAGTGTGCAAATGAACGCAGATGTCTTCAAGAGCAATCTAAAGTCTGCACAAAGAAGCAGGATGGCATAATTGCACATCTTGAAAAATCAATTTCTCATTATTGACCTATTCTTGGCTTTGGAATGCAGCAATATAATGTTTTATTTTCATGCACAAGACAAGAAATAATTTCAGGTTGCACTGGATTCAGAAACAGGGTTTTTCTGTGAGTTTTCTGAATTATAGATACCTACTTGCTGTTGCATAAATGAATGTTGCCTTGGTCCACGAGGACAAAACAAAAGGTAGAGGCACAGAATATTTTTATGAGAACCAGGTGAAATTCAACAAATGTGGACTGCCTTTAGGTTCCAGAGTTCATTGCCAGACAAAAAAGTAGCGTCTGGGGATCGGAAGAACATGGAAGTCCACATCTTAGCTAGTGCAAAGAAGCCATAATGGATGCCCAAAGAACTTCTAACTGTGCTAAGACTCAAAAGAGACATGCACAAGAAGTGGAAAAAGGGAGAAATCACCAAAGAAGAATTCAAACAAATAGCCAGTTCCTGTAGGGAAAAGGTCCGTAAGGCTAAAGCACAAAATGAGCTCAGGCTTGCCAGGGACATTAAAAACAATAAAAAGGGATTCTTTTCTTATGTCAGTAGAAAAAGGAAAAACAATGGGATCCGGTCAGCCTCACGTCGATACCAGGCAAGATTCTGGAAAAGATTAAGGAAGTGGTCTGCAAACACTTAGAAACAAATGCGGTCATCGCTAATAGACAACATGGATTTATCAAAAACAAGTCATGCCAGACTAATCTGATCTCTTTTTTCGATAGAGTTACAAGCTGGGTAGATGCGGGGAATGCCGTGGATGTAGCGTACCTGGATTTCAGTAAGGCCTTCGACAAGGTCCCCCATGACCTTCTGGCAAGGAAACTAGTCCAATGTGGGCTAGGCAAAACTACGGTGAGGTGGATCTGTAATTGGTTAAGTGGACGAACACAGAGAGTGCTCACTAATGCTTCCTCTTCATCTTGGAAAGAAGTGACGAGTGGAGTGCCGCAGGGTTCCATCCTGGGCCCGGTCCTGTTCAACATCTTTATTAATGACTTAGATGAAGGGCTAGAAGGCATGATCATCAAGTTTGCAGACGACACCAAATTGGGAGGGATAGCCAATAGTCCAGAGGACAGGAGCAGAATTCAAAACGATCTTGACAGATTAGAGAGATGGGCCAAAACTAACAAAATGAAGTTCAACAGTGACAAATGCAAGATACTCCACTTTGGCAGAAAAGATGAAATGCAAAGATACAGAATGGGTGACGCCTGGCTCGAGAGCAGTACGTGTGAAAAAGATCTTGGAGTCCTCGTGGACAACAAGTTAAACATGAGCCAACAATGTGATGTGGCGGCAAAAAAAGCCAATGGGATTTTGGCCTGCATCAATAGGAGCATAGTGTCTAGATCCAAGGAAATAATGCTACCCCTCTATGCTGCTTTGGTTAGACCACACCTGGAATATTGTGTCCAATTCTGGGCACCACAATTCAAGAGAGATATTGACAAGCTGGAATGTGTCCAGAGGAGGGCGACTAAAATGATCAAGGGTCTGGAGAACAAGCCCTATGAGGAGCGGCTTAGGGAGCTGGGCATGTTTAGCCTGAAGAAGAGAAGGCTGAGAGGAGATATGATAGCCATGTATAAATATGTGAGAGGAAGTCATAGGGAGGAGGGAGCAAGCTTGTTTTCTGCTTCCCTGGAGACTAGGACGTGGAATAATGGCTTCAAACTACAAGAAAGGAGAATTCATCTGAACATTAGCAAGAACTTCCTGACTGTGAGAGCTGTTCAGCAGTGGAACTCTCTGCCCTGGAGTGTGGTGGAGGCTCCTTCTTTGGAGGCTTTTAAACAGAGGCTGGATGGCCATCTGTCAGGGGTGATTTGAATGCAGTATTCCTGCTTCTTGGCAGGATGGGGTTGGACTGGATGATGGTCCATGAGGTATCTTCCAACTCTTTGATTCTGTGATTCATAACAGTAGCAAAATTACAGTTATGAAGGAGCAACGGAAATAATGTCATGGTTGGGGGTCAGCACAACATGAGGAACTGTATTAAGGCATTAGGAGTGTTGAGAAACACTTCTCCAGGGCATTTTACCGGAACCAAAAACTATACCTGTTCCCCCGACGAGGAAGGGGCCTTTGGACACTTGATGCGGAGCAGTTTGTAACAGCCTTGGATATAGCTTCACAAAGTAGATTTTCAAACCAATTCCTATTGCATTCCTCCCTGCTTTCCTGCAGGCTTCAAAACTACCATGCTGCTTCCAGATCTGTTATTTGATCAGATTGTTTTTCCTCCTCATCAGATTATTGACTGAATAATTAAAGCTTTCAACTGTTTGCCAGAAGTGTAATGAGGTAGTTGTCAATAAACCTGGAGAGTTGGACTTTGGTAATCTCACGCCTATATCTGCTAACTTGTTTTAAAATGTCTGCTTAATCTCTTCAATATGAAATGAAATAATGCTATGTACCTTTTATCTTGGAACTGTCATCATCTGTTTGAAATCCCTGGCTTATGATTGCTGATCATTATCTTAATGCCTAAGTAATCAATTCACTTTACCAGCAGTTGTTAGTTCTAGATATTGCTTTGCATATCCTGTGTAATGTTAATTTTCTGTTCGCTTTTCAGGGTTGTTCATGGTCTGTCATATTTGTAGACCTCGATGCCCACAATCGGAACAGGCAGACGCTTTTTTCCTTGCTCCCTCGAGAATCAAGATCTCATGTAAGTAATTTTTGATAAAATTAACTTAAGAGAATGAATTTTGTTTTAGTTACCAAATTTATGGCTGTTTTTTCCTCATTTTATTGATATGTGCATGAGTATTTATTGATATACTAGCCATCTCCTGCCCCGTGTTGCTGTGGCCCAGTCTGGTGATCTGGAAAATAAAGTAATAAGAACGTGTTGGTTTCTAATGGCGGGGTACAAATAAAGTGTTGTTGTTGTTGTTATTATTATTATTTATTAATATATGTAATTTCTTTATGCTTGTGGGTAAACAGTATTTGATTACGTGTTCTTGCCCTAGTGAAGGGAGTTGGACTGGATGGCCTTAAGTATTTTCTATTGGTCATGGGGGTTCTGTGTGGGAAGTTTGCCCCAATTCTCTCATTCGTGAGGTTCAGAATGCTCTTTGATTGTAGGTGAACTATAAATCTCAGTAACTACAACTCCCAAATGTCAAGGTCTATTTCCCACAAGCTCCATCTGTGTCCCTAGTTGGGCATATGGAATATTTGTGCTGAGTTTGATCCAGATCCATCATTGTTTGAGCCCACAGTGCTCTCTCTCAACGTCAAGGCCCACCAAACCCTTCTAGTATTTTCTGTTGGTCATGGGAGTCCTGTGTGGCACATTTGGTTCAATTCCATCATTGGTGGAGTTCAGAATGTTCTTTGATTGTAGATGAACTAGCAACTACAACACCCAAATGACAAACTCATTTTTTTTAGAGTGATGGTCACTCCTTGGGTTAGTAGGTGTATTGTGTCCAAATTTGGTGTCAAGTTTGTATTATGGCTTACCAAAACAGCTGAAACAGCCAGAGCCCGTTTTGAAAAATGGATCCATGCACAACTGTATTGTAAGGTGTACAGTATTTTAAAAATTGCAGTTTTGAACTTTCAGTTATTCTATATAAATAAAAATGTAATGTTCGTTTGTGGGATTACCATAACTCAAAAACCACTGGACGAATTGACACCAGATTTGGACACAATACACCTATCAGGCCAACGAGTGACAATCACCCCTTAAAACACCGGAAAACACAGCGGAAGGGACTTAAAAAAACAAAAAGGCAAAAAGATGCTACAGCCCATGCGCAAAAATAACTCCCCCTGGCAAACAAAACACACAATAGTATATCCACACTCTCTTCTGGACTACAGCTCCCAGCATCCAGGCCCTTTAGGAGATCAGGATGATCCAAGTGCACTGCTTCCAAGCTGCAAGCTTTCTTCTCCTTGGATTTCTTTGAGACCATCCCAATCCCTGCATACTTCCAATTTCCGATTCCTGGACTGCAAGTCCCAGCAATCCTCCAGATAAGGAGATTAGATAGAGATAGGTAGGTAGGTAGATAGATGGGTCAGAAGGACTGCTGGGACTTGCAGTCCAAGAATAGGATGAGAAGGAAGGAAGAGAAGATAGAGGAAGGGAAAGAAAGGGGGGAAGGAAGGGAAGAGAAGGAAGGAAGGAAAGAAGGAAAGAAAAAAGGAAGGAAGGAGAGAAGGAAGGAAGGAAGGAAGGAAGGAAGGAAGGAAGGAAGGAAGGAAGGAAGGAAGGAAGGAAGGAGAGAAAGAGGGAGGGAAGGTTGGTCATGGCAACGAGTGGCGGGTACAGGTAGTAACTTTTAATATTAAGGGCACATAATAGAGAAGATGGTGCACTTGCAGAGGCGGCCTTAGGTAATTTTCAACGGTAAGCAAACAGTATCCCCCCCCCCCCCAACCAATCATTGATATATATTTTCTGTTCTTCGTGGGAGTTCTGTGTGCCATATTTGGTTCAATTCCATCATTGGTGGAGTTCAGAATGCTCTTTGATTGTAGGTGAACTATACATCCCAATAACTACGACACGCATATGTTAAGGTCTATTTTCCCCCAAGAGCGCCCCTGGGCAAAATCAACTATACTGCGAGTGCTTACTTTGCGTAATGGGTTGAGCCACCCCGTCTACTTGAAAACAATGGAACCATAGAAATGTGTTTAGAAATCAAATGCAGACTAAATGTTTCTTTTTCTGAAAATGTTCATATTTTTTCAAAGTTATCATCCCCTGCCCCTCCCAAGACAAGCGTAAGCCTCTTACATTTTTGGATAACAGTTTCAGAACAACAGTGCATAGTAAATAGTTTGTCAGCTGCTGAATTCGGGAAAATATATATTAATTACATTCACCTAAATTATGCAGTGAGAGTTCATCAGATCGTGACCTATTTGCAGTGTTGACTTCCAAAAATTGAATGCATTATCCACATTCTCTCTAGTAAACAATGCAGGCAGAGGCCACTAGCTTGAGTTTTCTCCCCTCTCCCTTCACCCTGTAGACCTTGAAAATATTGCATCTCAGAACTCTGAGAGAACGGAAGTAGTATAAGTTGGTTGTCTCCTGGATTGATAGTTTATGCAGAGGCTTTTGGAGGATGCCACACCATGGGAAGGAGCCTGCTGAGAGTCTAAGCTGATATGCCATTAGATGCCTTTAATCAAGAGTGCTGTTGTAACATTAGATACTTTTCATTAGCATCACAGTGAGCTCCATTTCATTGTCTTAAAATTAACAGTCATGGCACGATGCCCCTCTCTTCCTTCCTGGATCTGGTAGCATTTCCACAAAACTTAAGCCTCTCTGTTACTGCTGTCTCATGGAAACATGAGAATCTAACTTAAAAATTAAAAGGGAAAAGGCAACTCTTTCATTTACATATATTTTTTGACTTACAGATACAGTGTAGTTTCCTCAAAAATACGGAACTTAAAGTTGCAGCATTCAAGTTGTATCTATTAAAACATGCCTTCTTCTGTTTTCTCCTTCTCCTAACCCTTCTCCTCTTCCTTCTCCTCTTCCTCCTCCTCCTCCTTTTTTCAATTTATTTTTTTATTTTTATTTAATTTTTTATCTCCTTCTCCTCCACCTCCTTCTCCTCTTTTCCTCCTCCTTCTCCTCCTCCTCTTCTTCCTCCTCCTCTTCCTCCTCCTTTTTCTCCTCCTCTTTCTTTTTATCCTCTTCTTCCTCCTACTCTTCCTCCTCCTCTTCCTCCTCCTCCTCTTCCTCTTCCTCCTCCTCTTCCTCCTCGTCCTCTTCCTCCTCCTCCTTCTTTTTTCAATTTAATTTTTTATTTGTATTTAATTTTTTTATCTCCTTCTCCTCCACCTCCTCCTCTTCCTCCTCCTCCTCTTCTTCCTTCTCCTCCTCCTCTTCCTTTTCCTCCTCCTCTTCCTCCTCCTCCTCCTCCTCTTCCTCCTCTTCCTCCTCCTCTTCCTTCTCCTCTTCCTCCTTCTTTTTTCAATTTAATTTTTATTTTTGTTTATTTTTTTATCTCTTCCTCTTCCCCCTTCTCCTCTACCTCCTCCTCTTCCTCCTCTTCCTCCTCTTCCTCCTCTTCCTTCTCCTTCTCCTCCTCTTCCTCCTCCTCCTCCTCCTCTTCCTCCTTCTTTTTTCAATTTAATTAATTAATTAATTTTTATCTCCTCCTCCTCCTCCTCCTCCTCGATTTTAATAGTTTTAAATTGTTTTATATGGATTTTATTATTGCCAGTCTGTACGCCACCCTGAGTCACCTTCGGGCTGAAAAGGGCGGGATAAAAGTGTGGTAAATAAATAAACAAACAAATAAATAATTTAAACAAACCTTTTTGTCTTCCTTAGAACACCGATGCTGCTCTCCTGCCTTGTATTAGCTATCCTGCATTTGCTGTGGATGATGAAGCCTTGTATAGCCAAACGATTGACAAAGTGGTTAGAAAGCTGAAAGGCAAATACGGATTCAAACGATTTTTGAGAGATGGCTATAGGACTGCATTGGAGGACAAAAATCGACAGTACTACAAACCAGCAGAAATTAAGGTATTGTTTCCATTTGTGCAATGTGGAAAGGGATTACAGTATGACCTAATGGGACCTGATACCTACAGTTTTATCTACCCACATCTGACACATCATGTCTTCTTTAGGAATTTTCTATGTGATTGTATGGTTTACTTTCAATAGAAGTTACTATAGTAGTGTCCTGGAAGAATGTGAAAATTGCTAAAGAGGATACCTCTCTATGAATTTTCTAGACCAGTGGTTCTTAACCTTCCTAATGCCGTGACCCCTTAATACAGTCCCTCATATTGTGGTGACCCCCAACCATAACATTGTTTTTGTTGCTACTTCATAACAATCATTTTACTACTGTTATAAATCATAATGTAAATGTCAGATATGCAAGATGTATTTTCATTAACTGGACCAAACTGGGCACAAATACCCAATGCACCCACATGTAAATGCTAGTGGGATTGGGGGAGGACTGATTTTGTAATTTGGGAGTTGTAGTTGCTGGGATTTATAGTTCACCTATAATCAAAGAGCATTCTGAATTCCACCAGCGATGGATATGAACCTAATTTGCCACACAGAACTCCCATGACCAACGGAAAACACTGGAAGGGTTTGGTGGGTATTGACTTTGAGTTTGGGAGTTGTAGTTCACCTATATCCAGAGAGCACTGTGGACTCACGCAATAGTGGATCTGGACCAAACTTGGCACAAATACTCAATATGCGCAAATGTGAACACTGGTGGAGCCTGGGGAAAATAGACCTTGACTTTTGGGAGTTTTGGATTTATCCTTGTTCATAGTGAGTGAATTTAGGTCACAGTACAAATTGAATTTTGCCAGGGATCTTCTTAGTCCCACTGGAGATGTTGCCATAATCACCATGTCGTCAGCGTAAAGCAGGATGTTAATAGTTCTGGACAAAACGTTAGGACCATGTAGACTGGGAGTTGTAGTTGCTGGGATTTATAGTTCATTACAATCAAAGAACATTTTGAACTCCACCGATGATAACATTGGCTCAAACTTCCTATATGGAATCCCCATGACCATCAGAAAATACTGTGTTTTCTGATGGTCTTTGGCGACCCCTCTGACACCCCTTCACGACCCCCTCATGGGTCCTGACCCCCAGATTGAGAAACACTGTTCTAGACTCTATGGTAATGTTGGAGCTCAGTCTGTGATTGTGTTTCAGGATCAGGGCGTCAATGAGGTTCAAGATGACTTTCAAGATGGCTATGGTTGGGTCAGGGATATTGATGCAGAAAATGACCAGGAGATTCCTGTAGTTTCCCAGGAGAATGTCCCTGAGGGGTGTGGGGGTGATAATGTGCTTGAATTATTACCAGAGGGTTCCCATGAGAGAGAACAGAAAGTTAGCTCAGCATCTACAGAAATTAATGAGCAAGTAGATAATAAGCCAAGAGATAGGCAAGAAGAGATTAGCCAAAACAGGACGGCTGAACAGTGGCTTCGCCGATTGGCCTGGCTTTGACAGAAAACAATAATAAAGCCTCAATTAAAGAGAAACCAATTTCTGACCACTAGTGACCTAGCTAATGAGGCAATAAAAGTCTCAGCTTTGGGATGTGTAGTCAGATGAAGCATCGTTTAGAATCACGCCTAGTTCTTGTCCTTGTTTCATGGAAGCTCTACTTTGAAGTTTCATGTTAAGATATTTCTTGTATCATGGTTTTTTATTCCTGGACTAGCCGTCCCCTTCCACGCGTTGCTGTGGCCCAGTCTGGTGATCTGGAAAATAAAGTAATGGTTTCTAATCTATGCAATTTCTTTCTGCTTGTGGGTAAACAGTATTTCTTGTTGTTTCTTTGTCAGTGTTGATGTGGAGAGAGTCTGGTTTGCCTACTATGGAACATGCAACATATCGTTGTCCTTCTTTAGGGGCCTCTTTCAAATCTATGATATTATATCTGTGTGTATGTGAATCATATAGATCTATCTCTATCTATGGCTGGATGGCTCTTTGTCAGAAGGGCTTTGATTACATTTTCTTGCCCTGGTGAAGAGAGTTGGACTGGATGGCCTTAAGTATTTTCTGTTGATCGTGGGGATTCTGTGTGGGAAATTTGCCCCAATTCTGTCGTTTGTGGGGTTCAGAACGCTCTTTGATTGTAGGTGAACTATAAATCCCAGTAACTACAACTCCCAAATGTCGAGGTCTAATTCCCCCAAACTCCATTTGTGTTCATATTTGGGCATATGGAATATTTGTTCCAAGTTTGGTCCAGATCCATCATTGTTTGAGTCCACAGTGCTCTCTGGATGTAGGTGAACTACAACTCCCAAACTCAAGAAAAATGCCCACCAAACCCTTCTAGGGTTTTCTGTTGGTCATGGGAGTCCTGTGTGTCACCTTTGGTTCAATTCCATCGTTGGTGTAGTTCGGAATGCTCTTTGATTGTAGGTGAAATATAAATCCCAAAAACTACAACTCCCAAATGACAAAATAAAAAAAATGAGTGAAGGACATACATTTGGATTGTTAGGTGTATGCTGTCCAAATTTGGTGTCAATTCGCCCACTGGTTTTTGAGTTCTGTTAATCCCACAAACGAACATTACATTTTTATTTATATAGATTTATTGATTACTCATCCAAGCCTTGGATCAATGTATTCCTGTTTTCTGGATTATATTAGAGACTTTATGGACTTCGCTGAACTCTACCTTGGATTAATTTGCTTCTGCTTATCTTCTTACCTAATTGGATTTGCCTATTCCTTTTAAGTGCTTTTTATTTAGATGCTTTTTAGTTATCTTCAATAAAAGGATTGCTTTCCCATTCAACGTGTGGTGTTTAAAATCAGAGGATTTTCCCTGTCCTGGGGTGTAATAGGTAGCAGCTAGTAGAAGTCATTCATATCAATAAGATTTGCTATTATCCATGGTTTTCCGCTTCCACGATAGGTTCAGCAATGTATCCCCCACAGATACGTGGGTTGTACTGCAATGTGCATTTGCAAAAGTGTTCGATGTATGCCTGTGTATAGGATTTATAACTTTGGTTGTTGGCATGTTTGTTATGATCAGCAGGCAAATAAATTCCAGGTTTGTCAGTCTGAATAATGTTACACTGTTAATTATCTTGACTCTGAATGTCACATTCTAATTTCTAATTACCTGTATTGTAGTTATGTGGTTGTGCACGCTTGGCTGAAGATTGTATCAGCACTTCCTGTGTAATCTGTTTTTTTTTATTTTAATAGACAATGGAAGTACCATTTTGTAAGCCTGCTTTAACCAAAATTTCAGATGTTAATTTATTCTTGATCAGATTATTTTGTTGATTTCACACTCCCATTATCTAGATTTTCCAATGTGTAAGGGGAAAAAAGTAAAAGAAGAAAGCCACTGAAACTGCATTCGGTGCATTGGCACAAGTTTTCCCATGCAGGCTGGCAATAATTTGAATTCTATTAGACAGTCCACTGATAGTATTTCTTGTAAGAGTCTGATAAGGGTAATAGTGCTACGGCTCATCCAAAAAGACTGAGAGGAAAATCTCCCTCTTCTGAATTCCTCACATTGCTGATTCACCACCCTCCCAAAACTGGGTTTATCTCTTGTTAAGTTGTCAATACTTACCTGGGTGGGATTTGAAAGCAGGTTTTGAAGATGGTATTAGATCAAATTTAGAGTGAAGACCTTTGTGCACCAAGGTAAAGGTTTCCTCCTGACATTAAGTCCAGTTGTGTCCAGCTCTGGGGGTTGGTGCTCATCTCCATTTCTAAGCCGAAGAGCCGGCATTGTCCATAGACACTTCCAAGGTCATTTGGCCTGCATGACTGCATGGAGCGCCGTTACCTTCCCATCAGAGTGGTACTTACTGATCTACTCACATTTGCATATTTTCAAACTGCTAGATTGGCAGAAGCTGGGGCTAACAGCGGGAGCTCACCCCGCTCCCCAGATTTGAATCAGCGACCTTTCGGTCAGCAAGTTCACCAGCACAGTGGTTTAACTAGGGGGTCCCTAGTTCACCAAAAGTGTGTTTTTTTTTTCATGCAAAGGGAGACAGTTCCATCTATAGTTAAACATTTGCAGATAGTGAGGTTGCAGGATAGCAGGTTCAGGCCTTTGAGTCTGTAGATGGCCACTGTTAGTCACAGAACATCCATTGGTAGTCACAGAAGACCAGTTAGTGGACTGACTCAGTAAGAAGTAGCTTACTGGTATCGAGACCTGGAATGTTGTGTCCAATTCTGGGCACCACAATTGAAGAGAGATCTTGACAAGCTGGAATGTGTCCAGAGGAGGACAACTAAAATGATCAAGACTCTGGAGAACAAGCCATATGAGGAACGGTTTAAAGAGCTGGGCATGTTTAGCCTGAAGAAGAGAAGGATGAGAAGAGACAGGATAGCCATGTATGTAGGGAGGGAGCAAGGTCGTTTTCTGCTGCCCTGGAGACTAGAACACGGAACAATGGCTTCAAACTACAAGAAAGGAGATTCCACCTGAACATGAGGAAGAACTTCCTGACTGTGAGAGCCGCTCAGCAGTGGAACTCTCTGTGGAACTCTCTGCCCTGGAGTGTGGTGGAGGCTCCTTCTTTGGAAGCTTTTAAACAGAGGCTGGATGGCCATCTGTTGGGGGTGCTCTGAATGTAAATTTCCTGTTTCTTGGCAGAATGGGGTTGGACTGGATGGCCCATGAAGTCTCTTCCAACTCTATGATTCTAAGGAGTATGGAATACCATGCCTCATTCTGGATCCCTTGACTGTGGTGTATCGTCCATGTGTATACTATCGGATTAAAACTGTGAACCATAGACAGATTGAGAAGACACAACCTTCCATCTAGGAAGAACCAGGGTCCCTGCAAAATAGTACCTCTAAGCCCCATCACAGCAAATTCATCTTGGAAGAAATTGTGGTTGATGGCACCAAAAGCCACTAAGACAGTGGTTCTCAACGTTCCTAATGCCGTGACCCCTGAATACAGTCCCTCATGTTGTGGTGACCCCCAACCATAACATTGTTTTTGTTGCTACTTCATAACAGTCATTTCACTACTATTATAAACCATAATGTAAATATTAGATATGCAGGATGCATTTTCATTCACTGGACCAAACTGGGCACAAATACCCAATGCACCCACATGTAAATGCTAGTAGGGTTGGGGGAGGATTGATTTTGTAATTCGGGGGTTGTAGTTGCTGGTGATTTATAGTTCATCTATAATCAAAGAGCATTCTGAACTCCACCAGCGATGGATTTGAACCTAATTTGCCACACAGAACTCCCATGACCAACGGAAAACACTGGAAGGGTCTGGTGGACATTGACCTTGAGTTTGTGAGTAGTAGTTCACCTATATCTCAAGAGCACAATGGTGGATCTGGACCAAACTTGGCACAAATACACAATATGCGCAAATGTGAACAATGGTGGAGCCTGGGGAATATAGACCTTGACTTTTGGGAGTTGTAGTTGCTGGGATTTATAGTTCATTACAATCAAAGAACATTCTGAACTCCACCAACGATAGAATTAGCTCAAACTTGCCACGTGGAATCCTCATGACCATCAGAAAATACTGTGTTTTTTGATGGTCTTTGGCGACCCCTCTGACACCCCCTCGTGACCCCCCTCAGGGGTCCCGACCCCCAGGTTGAGAAACACAGCACTAAGAGGTCTATCAGAATCAACAGGGCATGCTCTCCTTGTTCCGTTCCTCACATAGTTTATCCATCCACGCTGCCTAAACCATCTCAGTCTGGTAACGAAGACTGAAGCTAAACAAATCTAGATAATTCGTCTCAGCCAAGGGCATCTGTTGCTGAGAGACCACCACATGTGCCAATACCTCAATCCAGTAGTTCTCAACATTCCTAATGCTGCGACCCCTTTATACAGTTCCTCATGTTGTGTTGACCCCCAATCATAACATTATTTTTGTTGCTACTTCATAACTGTAATTTTGCTCCTGTTATGAATCGCAATGTAAATAGCTGAGATGTAGGATGTATTTCCATTCATTGAAGCAAATTTGGCAAAAATACCCAATATGCCCAAATTTGAATACTGGTGGGGTTTGCAAGGAGGGGGGTTGATTTTGTCTTTTGGGAGTTGTAGTTGCTGGGATTTATAGTTCACCTGCAATCAAAGAGCATTCTGAACTCCACCAATGATGGAAATGAACCAAACATAACTTCCATGACCAACAGAAAATACTGGAAAGGTTTGTTGGGCATTGACCTTGAGTTTTGGTGTTGATGTTCACCTACATCCAGAGAGTACTGTGGACTCAAACAATGATGGATCAGGACCAAATTTAGCACGGATTTATAGTTCACTTACAATCAAAGAGCATTCTGAACTCTACCAATGATGGAATTGAACCAAACTTGGCACACAGAACTCCCATTACCAACAGAAAATACTGGAAGGGTTTGTTGGGCATCGATCTTGAGTTTTGTAGTTGTAGTTCACCTATATCCAGAGAGTGCTGTGGACTCAAACAATGATGGATCAAGACCAAATTTGGCACAAATACTCAATATGCCCAAATTTGAGCATTTGTGGAGTTTAGGGAAAATAGACCTTGGCATTTGAGACTTGTAGTTGCTGGAATTTATAGTTGACCTACAATCAAAGAGCATTCTAAACACCACCAATGATAGAATTGAACCAAACTTGGTACACAGAGCTTCCATGACCAACGGAAAATACTGGAAGGGTTTGGTGGGCATTGCCTTGAATTTTGAAGTTGTAGTTGACCTACGTCCAGAGAGCACTGTGTACTCAAACAATGATGGATCTGGACCTAACTTGGCACAAATACTCAATATACCCCCAATGTGAACACTGGAGGAGTTTGGGGGAAAATAGACCTTGACATTTGAGAGTTGTAGTTGCTGGGATTTATAGTTAACCTACAATCAAAGAGCATTCTGAACACCACCAATTATAGAATTGGGCCAAACTTCCCACACAGAACTGCCATGACCAACGGAAAATACTGTGATTTCTGAAGGTCTTTGGTGATCCCTCTGACATCCCCCTCGCGACTCCCCCCAGGGGTCCCGCTCCCCAGGTGGAGAAACGCTGATCTAGATAATATGTCTCATTTGGGAGCCCCAGTTGCTGAGAGACTACCACATGCTCCAATACCTTAATCTGTACCAACAATAGCATCCAAGTAGTAATAAATTTGACCATTTTTATATGCAAAATGGTGGGCAAGATCTTCACTGTGGGCTTTTGAGTTATTTATTCTTGCGTGTTGGCCACCTTGACCAGCCCCGATCTCCAGTCCATTCTTCTAATGTTCCTTCAGGGTCTTCCAAGACTGGATGAAGCTTTCGTGGCTTCATTTTACAAAGATGGTAGGATGGAAGGAAACCAGCAAATCGTATGAACCATTAGTTTTGGCATTTCCTTGCAATCCATTTTAGCAAAGGAGACATTACTTGTTTGAGTAGTTTGGATGTGCAGCACCAACGAGCATTGCATCAGCACTTTTCTCCTGATTGATTTGTTTAGCGGAAAATGTGCTTACATTTCAAACTCAATGTACAGCTTGTTTCTCCTAACAAATAGCCACATTATTTATCATTTTGTTTAATTTCACAGCTGACTACAGACCGGAGTGTATTAATAATCAAATTTCAATGAGTTGCCGACTATTAATGCTTGCTATTAAAGGTTGTGTGAATGAAGTTCCCATTTTTCCCTCAAACACTTTTTATTTCCATCTTTTCTCATTTAAATGAAAAATTCTTTGCAGAAATGAAAAATTGCATGATCCATCTTGTGCATAAAATGGCGCTATGACACAAAACTATGTTGAAAGTATTGCAGATCTTTATGTAACAAAATGAACAGCTCCCTGCTTTTCCCCAACAAGTTGCTGCTCTTAAAAAAAATGTTATTTTTGTGTTTATATGTGTCCTCTTTGAAAATCTAATATGTTATTTGAATGTATTTCCATAAATAAAACTGGTGCAAGCCATTCAAATGTCTTCTCGCTCTCTTTTACATCTTAGCTCTTCGATGGAATTGAGTGTGAATTTCCTCTATTTTTCATTTTCATGATGATTGATGGTAAGTGTGACTTTGTGTTCTTATTCTGTCAGTAGATGTGTCTTGGAATGCACCAATAAAACGTTTTTAGCAACTCAGAAGATAAAACTGCTTATGGCAAGGTTTTCAAAGATAATTCTGCCACCACCTAAAATACATAGACTTCAGAACTTGTAGAATAAGCAGATATTCTGTTGTGAACTTTGCATTTGAGAGTTTAGTGCCCAGTTGTACATAGTCAAGAGTACACCTAGATTTGCTTCAGATGCTTAGAGCACTGCTAGGCATGTACCAGCATGATTGAAGTGATGGAGGAATACCATTTTCACTCCTACGAGGGTTGAATGAAAAGTAATGCTTCCACCTTCGTTACTTGGGTTTGGATGGGAATATTTTAATAAATCAAATGCAGAAATAATCCTTAGAATGTGCTCTTCAATTACCACTGTTCACTTTTCCACACAATCACCAGACAATTGGATACATATCTGCCAACGATAAACAAGTTTTCTGAAGCCATCACAGAAGAAGTCAACACTCTGTTTCCACAACCCATCGTGCACAGATCTTCCGATAGCCAAACAAAGCAACAATGTGACCCACACATTCTTGTGAAATGCTGATTATGCTTGAAATTTCTCTCTGAGTGATACCATGATCATCCTGACTCAATCTGTCAACCTTTTGCTTGTGAAACTCGGTGGTTGTTGTCACAGGACGTCCAACTCTTTGTCATTCAAGTCAGATGTTCCCACCTCGATATCTTTAAACTTACTTGCCCAAAGACACACAGGACTCACATCAACACAATCACCATAAACAGCTTGCATTCTCTGATGAATCTCCTTTGGGGTGACATCTTCTGCTGTCAAGAATTCAATTTATTTATTTATTTATTTATCGTGTCAGGAGCAACCACAACATTTGTATTACATTTTTTAACAAAGCAAACAAGCAAACAGACAAAACACAAAGTTTGCAAGCGTGGTAGTTGATTAAATGTCCTTTGACCAGTATCTGGCCACTTGGAGTGCCTCTGGTGTTGCTGCAAGAAGGTCCTCCACTGTGCATGTGGCAGGGCTCAGGGTGCATTGCAGCAGGTGGTCTGTAGTATGCTCTTCTCCACGCTCGCATGTCATGGATTCCACTTTGTAGCCAGAAGAATTCAATGACTGCATGTTGCTTAAGTTGCATTGACCGAACGTCTGCACAGGGTTCCATACTTTGCACTTTAACAACACAACTGTTCAATTCTATGGCTTCCTGACAAAATGGAACTGTAGAGGAGAATCTACTGAACAAGCTAGTACTTGCCGCATACCAGTACTGCCATCTGTTGAAGGGTTACGAAGGTGGAGGCATTCCTTTTCATTTAACCCTCGTGTTTTCCCTCCATTCCTCTTCTTTTTATATTTTACCCAAAGATAGGCATCTATAGACCTCCCAATATGTTTCAATTGAAGCTTTAGCTATCCTGCCTAGGTCTGATAGGAGCTGCGGTCCAACATTTGAACAACTGTAGTAATCCACCTTGGCTTGATCCCTCTTTTGATCCATAGTCTCTCCTGGACTTTCTCATTAGGATCCTTCCCCAATTTTGTGATTCTTGGTTCAGATAATCAAGAAACAGGGATATTTCTGTAAAAATTTGAAAAGTAGATTGAGATCAGATCTCCTCTTCCCAGGGTGAAAAGGCTTTGAGGAGATCTGATCCATCTTCTAACAACCGTAGGATTGTATTGTTCAGTCTTTTTACAGTAAACAGCTATAATAATAATTATCATCATCATTTATATCCCACCCCCTCTCCAAACAGGACTTGAGGAAGCTTACAAAAAATAAGTCACAGTACAAGACCAAAACAAAAATAAAAAAATATCATACATAAACAACAATATCCCATAAACATAGCAAGCTAAAAGTAACAATATCATAATAAAATATATAGGTCCCAAGAGAAAAAATTGCACAGATTGCATGTGCATAGATCCCTCAAGTTCTGCTTTGAGAGAACTGGGGATGTCCAAAAGTTTTTTTGCCTACTAAATCTTTTTGCCTACTAAAGATCAGAAGGTTTCCTGTTTGTCTCATTGATTGAGACTGTGCATCGAATCAGAATATGTTCATAGGTCCCTGTCACTTCCTTAAGGGATCCAGACATATTTCATCCATACTGCTGCTGCATTAGCAGTATTGGGTACAGATATCTGTAGGGTGGCTTTGGGGCCTCGCCTTCATCTTTCATCAGACATCATAATATTCACAAGTTTGCTTTTGCAAATCCATTTTTGGCAGGTTGTATCTTTGTAGTAGTAGTTAGAGGAAGTTTTAAGTATTCAAAGTTGACTGTTTCTGTTGGCGTGCAGCAGAGTATCGCAGACTCTGGAGTCTCCCGGTAAAAGCAGGTTTCAGCTTTACTAAAGCAGCTCAAAATATACAACATACACCATCAGCGGACAAAACGTGAAGAACACAAAACAAAAAAGATGGGAACAAATGCAAACTGAAACTGGAAGGGAGTTTATCTCTGGCACTCTCTAATCTTTCACACAGCAAGAACTCAGGGTCACATTCTCACAGCTTACTTAGCTGTTTTAACCCTTCTGTGTCAAACTACATCCTGGCAATACAATTCTATTACAATCACAATCCTACTACATACAATTGCATTTAAACATACATCATACATATAATCATACACTGACAGTTTCTGTAGGTCCTGGTATAGATAGGCATCTATAGGCCTCCCAATATGTTTCGACTGAAGCTTTAGCCATCCTGCCTAGGTCTGATAGGAGCTGCAGTCCAACATTTGAACAACTGCATTAATCCACCTTCTTATACTGGAGGAAACAGAACAATGGTACTTACTGTGAAGGTTCCTTTTCTTCAGTAGTAGGGAGGCAATCTTTCCCAAAATTTGTTAGTGGTTGTCAGGTTTTTTTGTGTTGCTATGGAACTTCCAATGCACACAGGTATGCCCCTGAATGCAGGATATTGCTGACAAACATCAGGGGAGATATTGTGTTCCTGCCAACATATTGATGTCCAGAGGCAGCTTGAGTATCTTCCTTGGAAACAGAATGCTGGGGAAGATGGACAATTTGGCCTGATTCATTGTTATTGTCTATAATAACGTGTAGTTGAAGAGAAAGAACCTAAAACACAGCAAAATAAACATTCGTGGGAATAACTTCAGCTAAAATTGTATCTGGCATGAAAGAATTTATTTTCAGCCTTAGTCATAAAGGAAACAGAACATTGGAAATGTGTTCAGTGTGATCAGAGAGACAAATGATGAGCTGGGAAGGAGGAAATGGAACAATGGGAAGTGTGAATTACAGACAAATGTCACTAAAAGAAAAATCCACACTGATCAAGGACCAGCCGTGTAGTCGTGAGAGCAACCTCAGGAAGTCCATCTGCTATTGTAAAACTCCCTACCTACCAGGGAAATTATTTTCAGCCAAGGTATACTGAAGTCGTGGATATCAAAATAACAAGTGAGAAATAGACTTGTGGGTTTTTAGTACAAAAAAAGAACGTGCACGAGGAATAGATCTTTGCTGGACACCGAGTATTGTTTGAGCACTGGAGAACGTTGGCCCCCTTCTTTCTGTCTTCTCTTTCATCCTCCCCTCTAATAATAATTCCCTCCTTCTAGTATTTCTGTGTAGCAACAGCATTATTTGTCCTTTGGTCTAGATAAGCAAGCAGTCATCTGCACTTGCTTACAAGCATCAAGGCTTGGTATTGATTTAGAAGCAGGCACAATCGCAGGATGAATTCACATGTGTGCCAATAACTTGGGTTTCTCTATTCTTTCTTACCCTTAACTCCATTATTTATTTATTTGCTTTATTTGTATACCACCTTTCTCAGCCCGTAGGCGACTCAAGGCGGTTAACAGGGTAAAATTCAATGCTTACAATATCATAAATACAATTAAAAACATAACACACAATAAAAATTAAACATATCAATAAAATATAAATTCATCATGTCTCCTTGTTAAAAACGTTGTCCGGTCTCATTGTCGTCGTTCCATTTTACTGTGTCAGTCACTCTGCATTTGGAAACGCTTGTTCAAAAAGCCATGTCTTGACTTTTTTCCGGAATGTTAAAAGGGAGGTGGCCAATCTAATATCTATAGGGAGGGCGTTCCGTAGTCAAGGGGCCACCGCTGAGAAGGCCTGTCTCTCGTCTCCGCCAAATGTACTTGTGACGAAGGCTTTTACAGACCTTAGGAACTCTCTTTTGTCTCTTTTCCTCAAACCTTCTCCCTGCCATTTCAGCTGAGATGCAACAGGATGAAATACAGGAATTCAGTTTTATATATTTTAACTAATGAATGCTTATATAATGTCCTACTAATGTAGGATATTAGCCAAGGCAATTAACATATATACATCACCTATCAATTGACCCATTTTGCTGCCATCTCCATTGGGTTCTGGTTGGTTTGTTGAGAGGTTGGGCTCAGGATTGGTCTCTTTTTGTTGCAAATTTTGTTTTGATCCAGATACTTGCAATTATGCAAATATTTTTCAAGAAGTACATGTGGAGTGGAAAGTCCAATCATTCATAAAGTGTTACTTGCATTACTTTTAGGTGTCTTCAGAGGCAACACTGAACAAGTCAAAGAATATCAGGAGCTACTGGATCCCATACTGCAGCAATCGGCAGAAGGTACTGTATGGTGATGTTACTGCAGATGTCTGAACTTTAGAAAGTAGTTGGGAGAGAAGTCCTCTGATATTCTGGAAACAACAGTAGTAAGTGCAGCTCATATCCTGGCAAAAGGCTACGGACTTAGGAAAGCAGTGCTGCAGGCCAAGTGTGGAAATAGAACTTAATTAATTTCTCCAGTAAGACATAGCTTATCATAAAATGGAGTTCATTATTGGGTGAGTGAAATGGGGATAGATTAAATGTTAGGTTTACATAGGAATTGCTCCCGATCCCCACCGACTCTCCTTTCATAGATGTGAAACAGATCATCCAGCTTGAAATCTGTCTCCATTGAGTCTTGCTTGGCCTTTAACTTGAACATATTTCCAGGGAGATTCCCCAACGATATATTGTTAATTTCGCCTTTTTGTCCCTTGTTCTCACAAGACACTTGTGAGATCCATGTTAATGGCACTTTTGAGGTTTATAATGTGTGGCCTCATTAGCGAGCCTTATTACACCTGCGAGATATAAAATGTGTAGCCTTATTAAACATATTGTTGCACTCCAGGACAGGAATAACCCTCTGACTTTAAAACACAACCTGTTGAATAGGAAAACAATCCTTTTATTGAAGATAAGTAAAAACAACAAAGTAAAGAAAAACACTTTAAAGGAATAGGTAAATCCATTTAGGTAAAAAGATAAGCAGGAACAAAATTAGTCCAAGGTAGAGTTCAGCAATGCCCAGAAACAAAGTCCACAACTCTCTAACAAAATCCAAAGAACCAGGAAACGTTGATCCAAGGCATGAGCAGGTAGTCACAAGAGACAAAACCCAAACCAGGAAACAAGAAATCTTTAAGAATGAATCTTCAAAGCAAGGCTTCTCTAAGACGAGGACAAGGGCTTGGCATGATTCTAAACGATGCTTCATCTGACTGTATTTTCCATGCTTGGAACTTTTAAGCCTTTTCAAGCATTCAGAAACTGGTTTCACTTTCCTTGAGCGGCCCTGTTGCAACTCAGAGTAGGTTTCACCTTGCTCCCAAACACCACCACACCAGAGCTGTGGATTTTGTAGTTTATTGAGGAAAAACAAAGTCAAAACATAGAGTAAGCAATGCAAAGTTCCAAAGACAAAGGCTGAATGCAAAAACACAGTTCCCAAGATCCATAGGCAAAAACATGAAGCATAATCCTTAGGCAATGATCAAACAAGAGTCCATGGTAAAACAGTGAAACACAAGACCCAAAAATCCCAGATTCAGGAAGCCAAAAGCGTGCTGCTTGTAGCCAAAGTTAATCCAAAGGAGTTTGCATGGAAAGAGCAACGTTGAACTGACACTTTCTCTTTGTCAGCCAGAAACCTAAATACCCTTTGCTAAAATGAAGGCGTTGCGATGACCTTTGGCCGACTTGGCTTCTTTCTTACTAGCTAAGCGAGAACTCCTCCTGACCCTCCAATCTAAGCATTCTTGCCTGCTCATTAATTCACTATCTTCAATGTTCTCTGGGCGTTATCTAACTCACTGGCATTCTTTTCCCTTGAGAACTGACTTGTTGTCTCTCCTGATGCACTGTCTGAGACAGGCACAGAAACAGACACAGAAATCTGAATCCCATCATCCTCCTCATCAGGGAACTCTGGTGCCTCACAAGACCTACAGGGTTCAGTTTCAGAATCAAATTGAGCCACAACAGGCCCTTATCTTTTTCTGTTGAAGCCTGGCAGAACGCCGAAGGCATTGCTTGGCTGTCTGTTTTGACTAATTTCCACCCTCCTAGCTATATGCTCATTAGTTTCAGCAGGTGCCGAGTTGTTTTCAAGCCCCAAATCCTGGGAACTCTCTGGGAGCAATTCTCATGGGAAACTACACTTTGAACAGGTATCTCTGCCATTCTCTGCATCAATATCATTGACCAAACCATTGTCATCTTGAACCTCATTTACATCATTCCCCACATCCAAAGCACCCTGATCCTGAAACACAATCACAGGCTGAACTCCAACACACACACATATAAACCCATTGGAGTTAATGTGTTTTTTTTCTAGCTCAGTGGTAAACAAATAGATCAAGAATGACTAAGAAAAATGTCTTTTTAAAATCAGCTTTCTTCTTCTTTTAATTCAAGATTGAGGTTCATTTTCCTTTTGCTCTGAAGCATATATACTCCTCTACTAGCAACATTACTATATGTTTTGTGTAGTGTATAACTTTAGTACCTCTTTAAAAGTGCATTTTCCCCTTCTGTCAGAAAATGCCAAATCGGTTTATTGTATTCAATCAAAAAATGAAGCATATAATGCATCTGTTCAGTGAAAAAACAAGGTATAAATAAACCGGTGTTCAAAACAATAATTTGTGTTCTTTGTAAACCGTTGCATGGAATTATAAGTAAGAATGAATGTTTATTGAGAGTGCATCTACACCGTAGAATTAATGTAGTTTGACACTATTTTTAACGGCTAATGCTATGGAATCATCGGAGTTAAAATGGTACCAAACTGCATTGATAGTACGGTGTAGATGCAACATAAACTGCTCATTATATGTGTTTTTCTCACTTTTTAAAATACCTTTAACACTTCTCAGGCTATCCTGTTGTGCCAAAATATTATTATGTGCCAGCTGATTTTGTTGAGCTGGAAAAGAAGAACCCTGGCAGTCAGAAACGATTTCCTAGCAATCACGGACGCGATGGAAAGTTCTTTCTGTGGGGACAATCCCTTTATATTATTGCAAAACTTCTTGGTAAGTGGATGTTATTGAAACAGAAACAGATTTTAATTAGTTAATGTGATTTAATGTTTTAAATGTATGTAATTATTGGATTTTATTATGTATTTTATTATGCGTACATTAGAGGCATCAAATTGTTGCTGGCTGGAAGCCGCCCTGAGAAGGGCGGGGTACAAATATCTGAAATAAATAAATCTATGTATATAATAAAAGTCAGTGTTTGTATGCAGAGGGAGGGAGGGTTGTGTATGTGGCAGCTTTCTGATTGGCTGCCACTTTCACAGGCCACTGTGACCTGCACAGGTGATGGACCTGGACCAAACTTGGCACACATAACCCCCATGACCCCCTTTACGTCCTGGTGCGGTTTGGGGAAAGTGGACCACGGATTATGGGATTTGTAGTACTTTCAAACACTTTGGCTCCCATACAACACTGTGGCACCCACAAATGACAGATCTAGACAAAACTTCGCACATAGCCCTCATGACCCACTCTACATCCTGGTGCAGTTTGGAGGAGGAGGGACCATGGATGATGGGACTTGCAGTACCTTCACTCACTTCCAGAGACCACTGCAACCCTCATCCAATGACTGAACAAGATCAAACTTGGCACACAGAGCCCCCATGACCCACTCTACATCCTGGTGCAGTTTGGAGGAGGAGGAACCATGGATGATGGGACTTGCAGTACCTTCACTCACTTTCAGAGACCACTGCAACCCTCATCCAATGACTGATCAAGATCAAACTTAGCACACAGAGACCTCATGACCTACTCTACATGCTGGTGCAGTTTGGAGGAAGATGGACCACAGATGATGCAACTTGAAGTACCTTCACTCACTTCCCGAGACTGCTGCGACCCTCATCCAATGACTTTGATCAATGACTGCGAGCCACATAAATAACTCATAAAGACCAATCTTGGCACACAATGCCTTTCTCAAATAAATCAGGCACCGCTGGGTGCCCAAGCTAGTCAATAAATAAATGCTAACAGGGCTTATTATGAAAAAATCTGAATTTTCTTTGATTTAATGGCCTTCAGAGTTCATTTTATGTGACTTTCTGAATTTGGTCAGCTGTATTAAATGATGTTTGTGACATCCTGCATCAGTTAGAGCCAAATTCTATTCAATGTTTAGGCCAGAATCTTATTTGTGATTGACTGGCAGAACCAGGGGTTACACCTAAAGTAAAGTTATTTAGGTGATGTATTTAAATCGGCATTAGTTTCTCATGCTCTTAATTTGCCCTATATGTTGAGAATTTTAATTAATAGTGTCGGAGTTGTGTCCCAATTGCTGTCGTTCTTACATATATGAAATTAATAAATTGTATAATGGTGATAAATGCTTTCGGTTGCTAGCGGACAAGTGATGAATTGTCGATGCTTTATTTTTAGCTGATGGTTTAGTCAGCATCAAAGATATTGACCCTGTGAAGCGCTACATCCCTCCCCAGGATCAGCGGAATGTGAGCATGAGATATTCAAATCAGGTAGGAATCTTTTTCACAATGAAGGCAGCGCAGCTAATGGTTTAGCGATTATGGGAGTTGTAATCCAAACGTGTACTCGGGTGGCATCATTATTTGCCCTTAAGGTAAGCAGTAAAGATAAATAAAAATAATAAGTGTTTTTGCCCTATATAAGACAATGTATAAATTAACAATCTTTACAATCTTTATGTGTTTCAATCATTCTGTAACTTGCCTCAAGCCACAAGGAGAGGAGAGTAAAAAATAAAATAATAATCTATTATTATTACGAGGGTTGAATGAAAAGTAATGCCTCCACCTTCGTAACTCCTCAACAGATGGCAGTACTGGTATGCGGGAGGTACTGGCTTGTTCAGTAGACTCTCCTCTACAGTTCCATTTTGGAGGGAAGCCTTAGCATTGAACAGTTCTATTGTTAAAGTGCAAAATATGGAACCCTGCACAGACGGTTGGTCAATGCGACTTAAGCCATGTGCAGACATTGAATTCTTGATAGAAGAAGGTGTCACCCCAAAGGAGATTCATCAGAGAATGCAAGCTGTTTATGGTGATTGTGTTGATGTGAGTACTGTGCATCGTTGGGCGAGTAAGTTTAAAGATACTGAGGTGATAGCATCTGACTTGTGTGACAAAGAGTTGGACGTCCTGTGCCAGCAACCACCGAGTTTCACAAGCAAAAGGTTGACAGATTGATTCAGGACGATTGTTGTATCACTCAGAGAGGAAATTTCAAGCATAATCAGAATTTCACAAGAATGTGTGGGTCACATTATTGCTTTGCTTGGCTATCGGAAGATCTGCGCACTATGGGTTGCGGAAACAGAGTGTCGACTTCTTCTGTGATGGCTTCAGAAAACTTGTTCATTGTTGGCAGAAATGTATCCAATTGTCTGGTGATTATGTGGAAAAGTGAATAGTGGTAGTTAAAGAGCACATTCCAAGGATTATTTCTGCGTTTGATTTATTAAAATATTCCCATCCAAACCCAGGTGGAGCGATTACTTTTCATTCAACGCTCATAATGGTATTATTGTTGTTGTTGTTGTTGTTGTTGTTGTTGTTGTTGTTGTTGTTGTTGTTGTATATATCCATGTCTAGGTGTCATTGGGACCACTGCCTCCCTCCCTCCCTCCCTGCTTTCATCCATTCTTTCTCCTTCCTTCCCCTCCTCGTTGTCCCTTCTCCAGCTCTGAGAGAGCCTCACAATGTGACAAGATGGCTCTCTCTATGGCTCTTTCCCCACTTTCCCTCATATATATATCACTTTTCTTGCCCAGTGACATAACAGAGGGCCACTTCACCTAGCAACAGTCCTTCACCTAGCAACTGTCAACAGAGAGCACTTTACCTGTGGTGGAAGCTTTTAAACAGAGGCTGGATGGCCATCTGTCAGGGGTGATTTGAATGCAATATTCCTGCTTCTTGGCAGGGGGTTGGACTGGATGGCCCATGAGGTCTCTTCCAACTCTTTGGTTCTATGATTCTATGATTCTACCTAGTGACAACCTTTGTGGTACAGGCAAATAAACATACTTACTAACTAGATGGATGGATAGATAGATAGCCAGACAGATAGATAGATTCACTCTATGAGTTCAAATTGGTGGTGCTGAGCCACCCTGGAGTATCTCATATGGCTCACTAAAATGATTTCAGAAGGCAGTCTGGCTGTTTGGTCAGGAACAACGGGTGGAACAGAGATAACCTCCAGTAATAAAATATCACAGTGAAGGTCACCCATCCTGACAGATTTAGCAAGTAGTTTTCCTGAAGGTTACTATTTTTTTTCTTTTTCTAGTTTTTCAGGATGGATTAAAACATAATGTTGGCTGATGGTGGCAAGGGGGTCACATTCGGTCGCAAGTTCATTCTGTCCCCCGATGTGTAGACTTTTCAGTTTGAGTTGGTTGTTAAAGCTGCAGCCTGCCCAACCACATTATTGTTAATGCCACTGTGAGCCCCCCTGGACAGAGCAGGCTGTGTCTTTAAATAATACATTCCAAGATGAGATAGTGTTTATGGCTGTCTGGAACTTCACACACCTGTCTGAAGTAGTGTTTCTTCTGTATGCATTTTTTTTTAAAAAACATAATGCGGTTTTATTTTTTTATTTATTGTGTCAGGAGCAAACCAAAACAGTTGTATTGCATTAAAAACAAACAAACAATCAAACAAACAAACAAAGCACAAAGTTTGCAGGCTTGGTATTCTATTAAATGTCCTTTGACCAGTATCTGGCCACTTGAAGTGCTTCTGGTGTGGCTGCAAGGAGGTCCTCCATTGTGCATGTGGCAGGGCTCAGGTTGCATTGCAGCAGGTGGTCAGTGGTTTGCTCTTCTCCACACTCACATGTCATGGATTCCACTTTGTAGACCTATTTCTTAAGATTGGCTCTGCATCTCGTGGTGCCAGAGCGCAGTCTGTTCAGCTCCCTCCAAGTCGCCCAGTTTTCTGTGTGCCCAGGAGGAAGTCTCTCATTTGGTATCAGCCATTGATTCGAGGTTTTGGTTTTTAGCCTGCCACTTTTGGACTCTCGCTTGCTGAGATGTTCCAGTGAATGTCTCTGTACTATTTCTTGATTTAAGTTGTTGGCATGCTGGCTGATACCCAAACAGGGAATGGGCTGGAGATGTCTCTTCCTTGGTCCTTTCACTATTGGTTGCTACTTCCCAGTGGATGTCAGGTGGTGCAATACCAGCTAAACAGTGTAATTTCTCCATAATGCTGTTAACTTTTTATGAGGAATGTCTGTACTTTCTCCCTCTTTTGGTTGAGACTATAGTATCAGTCTACATCTTTTAAAAATGCTTTCCTCTGCTTCTTTTCTTTGTATCTGTAATGTGACAGTAAGACCCTAGGATCAAGCCATGCTCCTTTTCCTGGTGGTGACATCAGGAAGAGTAAATACAAGCCTGTGTTGCACACCATCCAGACTTCACCTTGCCCTTAGCACCAATAATTATAATAATAATAACCGCTATCCTTCCCAAAGGGCCAGCTGAGCTGGCTGCAGAAAGAATGGTCAGCTTGGACCTTTCTTCTAGAGGAAACACCAGTTGACCACTGTGAAGGAAGAAATAGCCTATAGCACCCAGTATTCCCAAGCAGTTTCCCGTCCAAGAACATACAGTCCTAGATGCTTGGGAAGTGTTCAACTTGTGATTTTGTGATACGAATTCCAGCATATAGATGTCAAATGCTGTGACATACTGTGCTTTTGTGTCAATAATAATAAATTTATTCTTATACCCCTCCACTATTGCCCTGTCCCTCGTCCCCACCAGCCGCGTTTGAGAAGCTGGTGGGACCGAGAGCAGAGCCTCCCTGGACGATCTTAAACTATGAGACGGAACGTTGTATGATCATATCATATTTTAATTATTATAAAATATGATCACATCATATTTTAATTATTTTAGTTGTACAGATATGGGGAAGTTAAAGCAGTGGGATCAATCCAGAGTAGAGCATGTGTCCATGCTTGCTTATCATTTTAATCATGGCTGTCTTCTTTGCTTTCTATATCACATGTATGATCTGGCCAGGGTGGTCCATGCTTTGGTCATCTCTAGATTGGACTACTGTAATGCGCTCTATGTAGGGCTGCCCTTCAAAACGGTTCGGAAATTTCAGCTAGTCCAGCGGGCGGCGGCCAGGATGTTAACTGGTGCTCCTTACAAAGAGAGGTCAACCCTCCTGTTCAAGGAGCTTCATTGGCTGCTGTTCATTTTCCGGTCCCCATTCAAAGTGCAGGTACTCACCTACAAAGCCCTAAACGGTTTGGGACCTGCCTACCTGCATGACTGCATCTCCGTTTACGAACCCGCACGCTCCCTCTGATCATCTGGAGAGGCCCTGCTCACGATCCCACCCGCGTCGCAGGCGCGTTTGGTGGGGACGAGAGACAGGGCCTTCTCTGTAGTGGCCCCCCGACTCTGGAACTCTCTCCCTAAGGACATCAGACAGGCCCCAATGTTGGCTGTCTTTAGGAAGAGCCTGAAGACCTGGCTGTTCCAGTGTACCTTCCCAGAATAAGAAACTCCTGGCTTCAAGTCCCAAACACACTTTGTTAGAGATTCAGGATTATCTGCACATTGCACCTACCGCCAAATACCTCTACATATTACCTGTCAGGTTCAGCACTTTTAATTTTTGTCCCTTACATTTGGCCTGGCCCCTAGGTTTTTAATTGCGTCACAGTGTCATTGTTTTACTGTTTTATTGTTTTGCTTGATGTTTTATTATTTGCTTATGAGTTTTACTGTGTATTGTATGTTGTTGTCGGCGGCGGCCTCGGCCTTTGTAAGCCGCATCGAGTCCTTCGGGAGATTTTGCAGGGTATAAATAAAGATAATAATAATAATAATAATAATAATAATAATAAGGCATGTTTTCCATTGCTTTTTGTTTATGTGGATGTACAGAAATACTTGGAATAGTTGAGGATACCATTTCATCTGATCTTAATTTCAATTCTATTCATACTTAGTTGGGATTGAATTTGGTTGAACGTCTGATGAGACCTACATGTGATTGGGTTCTTTATTAATTTATGCATAGTCTGATGCAACTCAAACTTATGGATGCTTCTGCCTGTGTTTGCTTTGAAGTGTTCAGAAACTTGCCAAAAATGGAATCAGAAAGTGGAACACAACACATTTCACCTAATTGGTGTTCGGAAACCAAAAAGCTGCTTCACTCCTTAAAGGGCTTTGTTCCTTTTCCTCTACAAAATGTGTCAAATTAAACCATCTCATTTTGTTCAAAAAGCAAATTAAAAAATCCATTTAGTCATTTCATTGTGTCTAGCGACACATTAGATAGGCTTGTGGAGGCAAAATCAATCAGCCCACATTTAACACTTTAAAAAAGCAATCCCGTCATTAATGGGCTTCATTGAAGTTATTCTCATTAGTAATAAAACAATTTAATCAGACCCAAGGTTTGTTGTATTACAGACTGCCATTACAGAAGTCCCTTTCTAGTAATTGGCACCTTTT